CCCAGGACCCTGAAATCGTGACCTGAGCCAAAGACAGAGGCATTAACCCAATGAGCCACCCAAGCGCCCCCTAGACTTCTTTTCAATGTTCACTTTTAAAGGTGTCCACGATTGGAAATCTGCTGACACCTCAGACTGTTTAGTTTTGCTTTCTATGACTGGGTTTTAGGCTGAGTGTCCCAGGGCTCATTAAACAGAAAACAATAAACAGGAATTTCCCAAGTGTAAACTAACGGGAAATTTGCCCTCTGTCAGCAAATTTTCCAGGTATGCTAATAGCCAAACTGAGCACAACAGTTTGTAGATAAAAATTAAGTAGAAAGTTATAAAATATCCACTTAATGTGATATTTTTAACAAGGAAATTAGGCGATTTTAATTTTTTTTCTTCATACCACTTTTGATCTTTTACACTGTACATGTTTTTCAGAGCCCAACAGAGTGATTACGAGGAACATTTATTGATGGCTTCCACAGAGTAAATATATCATTTGAATTATAGTGATTAGATTCCATTTAAACGGTCAAAATTCCATTGGGTAACTAGATATGGGCCAAGTAGTATATTAGATACAGTGGGGTATTCAAATAACTCACAAAGACAAATGTCCTGGAGGAGTTCACAGTTCTGACATAGAGACAGATAAATTAATAAATATCTCTGGTATATATGGGTATATATGGGTTTCAATATCAGCATTGAGTCATACAAAGCAAGAGTCACGGAAGCAAAGGAGAGGAAGAGGTTAATTTTAATCAAGAGAGCAGGAACCTTTTCTTAAGAGGAAGTGAGATTTGGGGCTAGAAATAAAGAAAAGTGTATTAGTTCCCTATTGGTTACAGGTAACAAAATTCAAACTAGCTTAAATAAAAAGGCAATTTATTAGCTTCTGTAATAAGGATGTCTTGCTTTAGGCAAGAGAGATCCAGGCTTAGCCTTCCCTCTCTCTCTATCAACTTGATCACAGTCAAACTCTCCACAAAGATAACATAAAGACAAAAACTTACATACTTAAGGCATTATAAACCAGGCCCTTCTACTTCCCAAGAACCATTCATTAAAAATCAAGGAAGATTCTCATTGGTTCTGCTTGGGAACCTGCCCATCCTGAGCCAATGCCTATTGGCCAGCTAGGTCATATGCCCACCCTGTAGGGAACAGGGAAGGGAGCAGAGCATCATGACTGACAATTCCACCAAATTAGGTAGAGTTGGGGAGCTGTGGCTTCCCCCAAAAGAGCAACAGAAAGGATAGAGAGATGGTCAAAACTATTGGACAAACACTGTCACTACCATCTTCATTTCAGACAGGTAGAATGTTGCAAGGTTTCATGAGGGCAAAGCATTTGTGAGCACAAGAGCTCAGGCCAGGAAATAAATACAGGAAAATGCAAGGAATGTTTTGAACACAGTGGGTTTAAGTTGCTTGTGGGGTACAAAATAATTCTACCCCAGTGATTGTAGTCTCTGAATTGATGTAATGTTATAAGTCTGTTTTCCTTTACTTAGATATTTATACCTGGGGAGTTTTGCATGCACACAACTATAAATTTAACATTAATAAAGTGTAATGAGAACTTGCCATTTGAAGTATATCTTGTGATGAATATGTTTGTAAAGCAAAGTATTAAGTTGCCACCAGAAACACTAACCTTTAATTTTTCTGTTTTGTAAGTTTGAATTATTATCCATTGACTTTGTTTCGGATAATGTATACTTAGAATAAATCTTTTTTTCCAAAAAATAAAATTTTAATCCATTTAAAATGTAACTCAGCTTAAGCTTTTAGAGCATTGTCTATTTCTAGTGAATGATTAATAAATAAATATAAATGCTTCCTTGAATTTATATCAATAATTATAAAGTCATCTACTGGTTTTAAAAGCCTATTTAGATCAGACATTTGTTTGTTCCTAGCAAAGCAGTGACTGAATGTGAATTTATTTTATGATTCACAGAATCCCCCACAGGCCCATGGTGATACAGGCCAATTGATGTTTTAATCCTTTCTGTTCTTCAAAAAGAAGTGAAATTAAATGCTATATTCTTATTACTTAGTGTTTGCCACATTGAGCTAAGATTATAGATAGAATATAGAATTAAATCTTTGAAAAGTGAATTTAAAATCTAAGTTAGACAGATATGCAGGATTCTGACCTTGAGAAAGGAATTGTAGAAGTGACACCTTAGTGAAAAACTCAGGAGCAAGCCAAAAAATCCAGAGATGACAAAATATTCTGTAAGTATTTGCTAGTAATGGTCTAAAGTATAGGATTAAAGGGTCAATTTCTAGTCCCAACTCTGTCCTGACTTCCTAATTTTGAGCATGGCACCTCTCTTCACACGAATTTTCCTATCTTCAAACTCATTCATATCTTATAGAGAAGCTGTAATGACATGTGAAATAATAAATACAAAGTATTTAAACTTTTCAGAATAAAGTTTTCATAACAAAATTAAATAACAACAAGGTACACTGTATCAATTACATCTGATCTTTTATCATATAAAGCAAGCAAACTGGGGATGAAATTTTTATGTTAGAAGGATTCATTTCAAAATATGATTTTAAGAAAAATTCAACTAGCACATCTAAAATGAACTAATCTGGAGCCACCTGGATGGCTCAGTCAGTTGAGTGTCCAACTCTTGGTTTCTGCTCAGGTTGTGATCTCCAGGTCATGAGATCAAGTCCCATGTCAGGCTCCATGCTCAGCATGGAGTCTTCTTAAGACTCTCTCTCACTGAGCACCTGGGTGGCTCAGTAGGTTACGCTTCTGCCTTTGGCTCAGATCACAGGGTCCTGGGATCAAGCCCTGCATCGTACTCCCTGTTGAGCAGGTAGACTGGTTCTCTCCCTCCCTCTTCCCCCTTCATGTTCTTTCTCTCAAATAGATAAATAAAATCTTATAAAAAAAAAAAGACTATTCCTCTGTTCCTCTCCTATCTGATTCATATACAATTTTTGGAAAACATATTTTGCACTATGCAAATTTATCCCATTGCTATTTAATTAATACTCAATGCATAAAGCCATTCCTTAGAATAAATAATGTGTTAAGTCAGTGGTACCCAGAAATATATGACATCTTTAGCTATTTAAAATTATCATTTAACAAAAAGAGTCATGTAACTATTATCTGCCCTTTAGATATTCTGTATAATATTAAATACATTTTGTAAAATAGAAACTGGAGGTCTTGAGTAGCTATAGATTTCAGGCAAAAGAGTCATATGTGCCCTATCCAATTAGAATAACTACTTAAAGGAACATTTCATGAGATACTTAGATACCTTAAGAGCTAATGATGATTGCAATGTAATGATACAGTACAGAGATACAGGTTATTTTAGAAAACATAAAATCTTTTTTAAATTTAAAATTTTAAATATAAAATTAAATAATACTTAAAGTATTGAAATAAATCCATTACATAGAACCATGTGGAATTTGATTACAAATAAGGCTGGGGATGGAAGTTTTCTTTAGGACAAGACTGATGATAGGAAGGTGAGGAATTTCCCATGATGCTTGGAAGGAATGTGGATATCTAGATCATATTGCATAAGAAATAATTGACATAGTCACCAAATTTTTAAAAAGGTGGAATGTGAAACAATGCTTCTTGTTTAATAACAGAATAGCCTTATCAGAATAATATCTCTGTCTGGTATGGGGCACAACAGTTGAGTCAAAATCAAAAAAGGATGGGATAAAAGGATGAGCAACCTGCCTGCTTCTTCCCCTCCCCTTCCCTCACCACAGACTTAGCTCACCCAAAGAGACAGCTGCTGAGAGTATGAAGATGAAACTACAGTGTTCACTTTCATCTCCAGAATTCCTCCACATCTGCCTCTTCCCCTATATCCCTTGTTCCCAATTCCCCTTCATTTCTTGGCCTCCTTTTTTGATCCTTAGTTGAACCCCCTGTCCCTCTCACCCCTAAAATACTGACCTGGTTTGGAACAGGCAATTCTGCTTTCCACCTGTGAAGCTCTTCCATGACTTGAATATTGATGACATGATTATCCACCTATGACCCCACCTGCAGTAAACCATGGAGAATGTCACCTACTCCTATACCCTGTGGTAGCCCAGTAGAGTCTGTACCAATCTGTTCATAAGCCAACTAGATACTATTTGATTATGAAAGGAGATTAGACTTAAACTCAAGAGAAAAATTTAGAGTAAGATCCACAAAATCAGGGCACATATCTCATCAAATTCTATTTAGATAGTTTAGGGTGGTTGGTCATCCCTCTACTAATCATCCAATGCCTAAGACAGAGTTGGGTTTCTCTTACAATTCTTGATACATAGAAGGACCTCAGGAAATAGTTAATGAGGGAGAGATGGATGAATAAATAAAATATCATAAGCACCAGCTCTAAGATCCAGGAATGATTATACTGGTTTTTGAGGGCGCACATGAAGTTACAAAATATGATGAATCTTTAATTAGTAGAACATGTTTGGTGAAATTTCCATTCACATTTCTTTTAAGAAAAAAGCAGGAAGCAACTCAGCATATCTACTTGTCATCACTTTTAGAACATCTGTGGTTTTAAAACAGCTTTGAAAATAGTTACTTGCCTAGAGTGAAGTCTGACTTCTGCTGTATAAGCATTAAAGTGTTCTAAATTCATACACACTAGTACATACCCTCATAGATGGCAGTTAATAAAAGTACTGAATAGGTGGCTTAAATCTTCTTCCTACTCTGGTTTTATAGGAATATGTATATGTATATTTGGGTCATTAAAACTTGGTCAAAATAAAGAAAAAGGCGGAGGGAACAGATGCAGCAACCCCCCCCCCACTTTCTTTGCATGAAAAACTGCACATTTACTCAGAAATCCCAAATAAGAATGTTTACAGGAACGGTCGATGGAAGCAGCACGGTTTGGCATTTGAAATGCTTACTGTTTAGTGGGAGAAAACATCCTAAATACAGTGCGTCTCTCTCCATCAGCTGGTGCTCACTATTTGTGTTTCTTCAGATTGATCAGCTGGACGTGGATAGCTTGTTTAGCAACATTGAATCAGTGCATCAGATATCAGCCAAACTGCTGTCATTGTTGGAAGAGGCCACAACAGACGTGGAACCGGCCATGCAAGTAATCGGTATGTTTACTCTCTTCTCAAGTTCTACAATACAACAGGAAATAATATTTTAATAACCTCCCTTTGCTTTGGTTTTATGTTTCTGACTCACCAAGCTTCCCAGGAGATGTGTAAATGCTAAACCCATCTTCAGGCTCATTGTAATTACACAAACTCTGTATTTGTCTTCAAATGGGTTTCTATCCATTTGCTGAAGTCCCACAGTAGCACTAAAGCATACAATTTGCTTTTTAATTTTCAATCTTTCAACCTCCTTGCCTTCCAGATGTTCTCTCATTTTGTTTTATGGCTAACACTTACTCGATCCTTAAAGAATTAAATATTTAAATACTTTCATAGCTTTACCGATTTTAGTCAGTGTTTTTTCAGATCTCAAGTGTATGAATCCATTGGCTTTGGGATTGAAAAAATTTTGTGTGAAGGGTTTTTATAATTTCTAAAACACGCAAGTTCTACTTTTCCCATGCTTTTCCTTTTTCCTCTATATTACTTGCTTTCTAAATATATTTTTACTCTCAATCACAGGATTAATTTCTTACTCTGGTGAGATTTTGGAAAAAAAATACAAAGATATCATTGAAGAAGCATTGAGCCAAATTTTTATCCCCTCCATGTCTTGGAAGTTGCAAAGGGAATACCATATTGTAAACTTTTTGAAGGCAATTACCACATCGGAGATATCATATACATAGTGCCACGGAGGCTAAGACATCTTTAAATATTTTTGGTTATTTTCCTATTTCAGATATAGCATACAGTGTATGTTCCCTACAAAAATATTAAAAACAAATCAGGAGTACAAGAGTAATATACCTCTTCAATGCCACCATCTTCCTGATAAGTAACCACTGTTAGCAGTTTGATGTGGATCCTTTCTTTGAGACTTATATAGACACAAACACACTCACACCTTATGTCTTTACTCATTGTGGTTTTATTTGTTAAAGAAAATCAGAGTTTTAAAAATGAAATTGATCTTGTTTAGTATTTATGGGAGACCCAAAGTTTAATAAGCAAGGTTGATACTATGCAAAGGTGAATCACCCTTTTGTAGTGTTTTAAAGACCCAAAGGTCAGCTCACTCAAAAAGATTCTCCCACAGACAGGTTTAAATTTAACCATTACTTATGACTGAATGTCCCTATTCTGTACTGAATGTTTGTGTTCCCCAAAAATTCATATGTTGAAGCCCTCACCCTCAGTGTAATGGTATTTGGGGATGAGGCTTTTGGGAGGTAATTTTGGTTTAGATGAAGTCATGAGGCAAGGAGAGGGTCCCCATAATGGACTTAGCAAAGGAAAGAAAAAGAGACCAGAGCTCCCTCTCTCCCTCTTCACCATGTGAGGACATAACAAGAGGGTAGCTATCTGTAAGCCAGGAAGGAGGTCCTCACTAGGAACTGAAGCAGCTGGCACCTTAATCTTGGATTTCTGAGCCTCCAGAACTGTGAGAAATGTCTGTTGTTTAAAGCCTTCCTTCCCCCAATCTATGGTATTTTGTTATGGCAACCTGAGCTAACATATTTTCTAATAAGCTGTAAATGTATTTTCTGAAGGAAGGACTCTGTTCATTATTACTTTAGTGTGGATTGATTGGCCATTCATTTATTAATTCACTCAATGAATAGTTATTAAGTAGCAGTGTATATAAAGCATTGTTGGGTATCAAAAGATGAAAGAGATCATCTCTGTCCTCCAAAAGTTTGCCACTGAAAAGCTCCTTGAGTTGAAGTTATTTGGGTAATAGACCATCAGACTATTTTCTACACTACTGCAGAACTTCAGAGGATAAGAAGACTATTTCTAGATGGGGAATCACAGAAGGATCCTTGAAGATGTTACTTGGGCTTGGAGTTACAGTCCAGATTTCAACAAGTGGGATCCAGGTCTGGAAGACTAAGCAGAAGCAACAGCATAAACAAAAGCATGGACAGCAAATGCCAAATGCCAAGCATGTTTAGGAAATGGCGAGAGATCAAGCCAAGCAAGAGTGAAGGATGAATCTGAAGCAAAAGTGAATCAGAAATGAATCTTAGGGGCACCTGGATGGCTCAGTTGGTTAAGCCTCTGGCTCTTGGTTTCAACTCAGTTCATGATCTCATGGATGGTGAGATCAAGTCCCACTGGCTCTGTGCTCAGTGGGGAGTCTGCTTGAAGATTCTCTCCCTCTACCCCTCCTCCTATTTGCACATATGAGCGCACTCTCTCTCTCTTTAAATAAGTCTTTAGAAAGAAAAAGAAATTAATCTGCAAGTGCAGAATAGAGACAGACTATACTTGGAATCAAATTTGGAATTTACTCTGCAGATACTGAGGAAAAATTGAAAGATTTTTCAGCAAGGGTGTGATGAGACATACAAGTTTCTGGAGAAAGAAAATGATGGTAAGTAGGAAGAGAATGGAATGAAGGAAAAAATGAGTCCTAGACTAGTAAATATGTTGTTATAAATAATGTGCAGGTGTGTGGTAGCAAGCATCTAGGCTATGGAGGATACAATGAGAATAAAAAAGGGGGGTCAGATTCAAGAGAAATGTCGAATGAAGCATAAACAAGATTTAGGGATTGGTTACCTGTGCTAAAGTCAAAGACAATTCCAGCTTTAAGGAGGCAAGTATCCTAATTTACCTAGAACATCCTGGTTTTAGCCTATTGTTCTAGCATTCAGTCCAGTTTAGCATTTGTCCTGGAATGTCTCCTTTTTAAGGAGGATCATGACTAATCATTGTACTACAAGAGATTTGGTGAGACCTCTACATTGTACTCCATTTCTAACTGGTCTCTCCTAATAGAATATAAGAGGCAGGTATATGTGACAGAGTTCTCCCTGTAACACATGGTAAACTCTGAAAGACAGCCCATCCCTCCTTTCCCAACCTTTTGAAGTATGGCACGCACTGCACTGGCTGATAAGAAGATGACATTTGGACGTGAAGCTCAACTAACTGCTTCCTGTTCTGGCAGTGCTGGGAGATGTGTCTGAGGCTACAGATTCTGCTGTCCACTGGGGATAGCAGTGACTATGTCAGGGCCCATGATGGGTGGCCCATGCCAAGACCTGTGAGAGGCACAAAGCCCCCAGGATACTAGTCAGTGGGTTTTAGTAGGACCTATAGGGAATTAAAGATTAGATGTAAGCGAATTTCCTGTGAGAGGTAGAAGCTTTGCAGTCCTGCTACAGAGTATCTAGATGCCGTTGCTACAATAGTTTGGTAATTTATCTTATGATATAAATCCATAACTTTTTAATGATCTGGTTATGCTAACTTGTTATGCTTACTTAATGATCTGGTTATGTTTTGCAATAAGCCCTTTCAGAAGCAAGGGGCTCATCTATGCATGTTTAATAAAAATTAAGTGTTGATTTTCTGTTGTTGAAGGAAGTTGATGATGAGCATGTAACACACAGAACACTCGCTATCCACCATGGGGTTCTTAATACTATCACTGACCGTAAGAAAATCAGAAGACAAATCTGCGGAAGCAGCAGCAATATCTACATCAGAATTAGTCATTGCTTTATAAAGACTGTGCCCATTGTTTTCAAACCTTGGCATTTGGCATTTGCGGACCAGCTTCTGTTCCGGCTGTTCCCTTCCCTTGGGACCTTCTTCCCAAACTTCTTCCCACTTGTGGAAATCTTACCTACGATGTTAAGCCCAAGGGCATGTGGTTTCACACTTGGAGCTGCAGAAGTGGGTGACATTGAGCACTTCATGCAGCATGGCTTCGTTAGGTCAAAGGACAGTTATCCTAAGTTGATTGTTCTCACTTTTAATTCTGAGTTTCCTTGGGCCCATGAGAAATGTAAAGCAATGGTTATTAATGAGTTGATACCAATGGCAGAAGAGTTTACAAATAGTCAAATTATGACAGTTTTAAGCAGTGTGAGCAGGTAAATTAAATTTAAAAATCAATTAATTCCTATAATGATAAAAAAATATTTAACCAGGGGCACCTGGATGGCAGAGTTGGCTTAACATCTGACTCTTGGTTTCAGCTCAGGTCATCATCTCAGGGTCTTGGGATCCAACCTGCATCAGGCTCCATGCTCAGTGTGGAACCTGCTAAAGTTCCTCTCTCTCTCTCCCTCTGCCCCTCCCCTCACTTTCTCTCTCTCTCTAAAACAAATGAATGAATAACTCTTTAAAAAAAAAAAAAAGTTTAACCAATTCACAGAACAGAAGACAATTTTTGGAAGTGTATTGTTTCCAAGGTGAATTTTGTGAATTGTGAATGCTATTCTTACTTTAAAAATTAAGCTTGTGAATGCGAATGAAAATATGAATACATATTTTGGGGGAGCACAACATCTCAGTAAACTAGTATTTTTATTAAAGTAAGAAATCTATGGGGCTTCTGGGTGGCTCAGTCAGTTCAGCGTCTGCCTTCAGCTTGGGTCATGATCTCAGGGTTCTGGGATCAAATCCCACATGGGGCTCCCTGCTCAGTGGGGAGCCTGCTTCTCCCTCTCCCTCTGCCTGCCACTCTGCCTACTTGTGCTCTCTATTTGTCTGTCAAATAAATAAATAAAATCTTTAAAAAATATATAAAAATAAAGACAAGAAATCTATGGAACAGAAATTGAGATTGTGGTGATTATGTACTAAAGCTGTGATATTCTATTAGTTGAAATGGTAACTGTAGTCAAAATTCACACAGCTTTATACATACAAAGTTAGAGTAAACTAAATACAATATCTGGAGGATAAAGTTGATATTAATTTAAAAAACAATCTTATGCATGATGGTAATATTTTCTTTGTCGCTGGTCAGTAATCAACTTTAAGAAATTGACATTTTACTCAAAATTAATGAGAAGTCTTTAGTTAAAGTATGCAACAAAGAAAGAGGAAAAAGAACTACTTCAGCTTTTTAATCTTTACAATTGTAATTACTGAAAAAGAAATTGCAAATAAGAAGACACTGAAATTTATCACTACTAAAACTGGGAGTTAGCTTTAAAAAAATGGGTTTATATGGTAAAGAAGATTTAATTTTA